TCCAGGTGGCAGATTTCACAGCTTAAAGTGGTCCACCAATAGGGTAACATCATTCATCATAGGGTTCGGTCTCTATAGCATCCCTGATGGGTTTTGTCCTCCCATTTCCTTCCTCCTAACTTCCTGTTATCTACATTCTGCCTTAATGTGAGGAATGGGGGAGAGATAGACTCTTGAAAGGGACATCTAGGGACTTTCTTTCCATCTAGTCCTCATGGAGATAGTGTGGTATAGTGGGGAAGTACTGGGTCAGAACCACAGGACTGAGTTTTGATATCCAGGCTAATTTTTACTTCATAGGATGGCTATCATAACTTCACATAACTTCTCTGGTCCTCAGAGGGTTCATTTTTTTCCAACTTGGCCACAAATCAAAATCCTCTGAGGAATTTTCAGTGTTAGTTTTTGTTATAAAAAAGGTGCATATTAGTGGGAAAAGATCAAATAGTATAAAAGAGTATAAAATGAAAAAAAATCCCTCCTCCTACAGTCTGTACAATCTCCCATTCCTCTAACTCAGAAATTCCTTTATGGTGTTCTGAGCTTTAAACATAAAGATCCCTGGGCCTCACTCCAGACTTAATGAAGCAGAATCCCCAGGGTCCGAAGAATTTATAATTTTAAAAAGCTTTGTGAGTGATTTTGATAGACTTCCAGGTTTGGGAATGAATTCCTTGACTAATATCTGAGATCTCTTTTAGTAAAGTCCATCTTCCACCCCCTCAAAACTAAAGGATTTAAGTTTGCCAGCTACTGATAGGACTGGCCCTACGCATAACTAACGTGACAGTGGTTTTATTTGACTTTTTCTTATTCACATGTTCTCCCTTCACCTTCAGCTACTCAATTTCCTTACTTTACAATTTTCATAACTCCTTGACCCACATAGTAAAACCGTACTGTTGGAAGGCTGTCACTCATTCTAATAAAGGTGTAGTTGCTTTTTGGTTAATCCAATAAACCAGTCACTATTAATGAATTTTCTAGCTAATATACATATTACCTTTCCAAGGTAACATCATGCTTTATGCTAAAAAATATAAGTTCCCATAATGCTCTTAACAACTAACATGAAGTTTGGAGGCTGCTTATGAACAACCATGAAGATGCTTTTAGTCAAGCAAGCTTTCAAATAAAATCCACATACACAGATAAACAAATCCAACTAGTACTAGAGTGGAAGATAAAAATTCTCCTACCCTAGACCCCCTTAGTTCTCTCCAGGGACAATCACTGTGAAGTTTTTTATGTATCCATTGAAGGGATTTAAGCAGGGTGGATATATCATCAAATATGGTAACCATATTGTGGATAGATTTAAGAGAACAAGGCTGGAGGCAGGGAAAGAGGTTAGGGAGCAATTGCCATAATCGAAGCAAGAGATACTCAGGACCTGAAAACTAAGGCAGTAGCAATGGGGATGGACTAGCGGGATAGGCGAGCTTAAGGAAGTAGAATTAGCTTGGGTCAATGACCTGAGTTTATCTAGGATGACTCATTGGTTTCTTCTATGAATAACTGAGTATGTAGTGTCAGTCCTTGAGAGGTCCAAAACAGAAGTGGAAATGAACTTGGGAGGGAGATGTTCAGTTTTGGACACCTTGAGTGTGAGATACTTATGAGACATAAAGGTGTTCTGTGAGATATATGCTATTCATTAGTGTAACACGAGATTGGCACCATGAGAGATCAGAGGGACAAGAGAACAGATTGGCTGACTAATGGCTCAGAGATGGTAGTTGAAGATGTGGGAGTGGATGAGTTGCCCAAGGAGGCTGTGTAAAATGAGAGGAAAAGAACTAAAGGTGCAGGCCTCTGGGATATCAGCACTTAGGAGGAGAGAAGGAGCAGCCAATATGAGATCAAGGAAGGGTTTTTTTGTTTGTTTGTTTGTTGTTAAGATTTTATTGGGGAATTAGAGGGAGGGGAACAGCATTGGGGAATCGGGGAAGGGAACAGACAGGTAGACAAATTGCTGTTTTGTTCTTCAGTCTAGTTGTGGAGGACGTCGCTTCACTGGCCCATGTTGGTATTATCATTGTGCTCTTCCCGGGTGAGGCAATCGGTTGCCGGTCGTTGGTCGACTGCTCACAGCGGCTCCCGGTACCTCACACTGGATACCAGCTTCTCACGCTGGCTGCCAGCCACTTACATTGCTCACGGCAGCCCACTGCAGCCCTGCTGCAGCCTACTCCACCGCTGGCGATTCACAGCAGCCCAGCTCCAGGTTGAGCTGTTGTTCATCATCTTTGCTGTAGAGGGCAGGGTCACTGGCCCTCAATGTGGGATCCAAACCGCAGCCCTGCTGCTCAGAGCTGGTGCCCCCAAGTGAGCTCTTAACCAGCTGAGCCACTCGGCCGGCCCAGGAAGGGTTTTGTTTTATGTTAGGTTTTTCTTCCCTGGGATGGAAGAGCTTTGAGCAACTCATGGGAATGGGACCAGTATAAAAAGAAGATTGGAAGCAAATAAGAGATGAGGAACAACCTGTACTAAGGGACAGAAAGTGTTCGATCAGTCACAAATGGAAGACTTAGATTACAAGCAAAGAAGTCAGGGTGGGCATTTGAAATATGTACGTTTTTAGGCTTGGGTGGAGAGAATTGAGAGAGGTCATATCTGATGACTTCAGTTGTTTCTAAGAGGAAGTGGGAAGAGAAACCAGGTGAGGTGTGGGAAGTAGTGGAGTAAAGCGGTTTTAGGATAAGTATGAAAGTTAGAAACAGCTGTTTCTTGGGTAAAAGAGGGAGGGGAGGAATACTAAAAAAAAATCCACACACACAAATATGTGTCCATGTCTACCCTCACTAATATTAGTTGAAGTATCTGAAAAAAACAAAACAAAAAACATTGTTAAGATAAATAGATAATTAACTGACACAAAATAAATTGCTAGGAATCTAAGTCACAATTAAATGAAGTGGTTGTTAATCAGCAATTTATAGGAAAGGAAGATTTATTTGGATATAAACTGTCCGGTCCAATATACTACCTCCTAGGCCCACTGCTACCCAAACCACACAACTGTGGAAAGAAAAGGAGGAAAAGGAAACCTGGGCCTAATTGCTATGATGAAAAAGAAGACAATAAAAACGTGCCGTGCTAGGCCAAAATAGGCGAAATAGGTGAACATAGAACTCAAGGCATAATACCTGATCCATATAAGATAATTATATAATAATTCTATTTTGAAATTATGTAGCATTTCTTCCTTCAACTCAATGAATGGCTATATCTATCATTTAAAAAAAAATTCCTATCTAGAGAAAAGAGCCAGCACTCTCCCTCGATTCCATTTATCTGTAGAAAGTCTGAAGTGATGAAGGATTAAATAACGTTCCTAAGTTTAAAGGATAAAACCTGGGTGAGCATCCTGTTGTCCTGACTTCTAGAGTAGATTGCATAATTTTACATAAATATTATATTTATTACGTCCCATACAGATTGTGTGTGTGTGTGTGTGTGTGTGTGTGTGTGTGTGTGTGTGTGAGTGATTATTTGGAGGAGTGGCTAACATTACAGTTAAATATACTGGTAAGACTATAGAGAGCATTCATGTTTATAGCTTCACAATTTCATAACCTCCTTCACTCTGAGATCTTTGCCTAGAACACTCCTATTCTGCATTGATCAACCTCTTCTTATTCTATGAGGCTTTGCTCATGTCTTCCCTTCCCCGACCACCCTGAGCTGGATGCCTCTTTGCTTACTTTCTCCATGCCCTGTGCTTAACCTTGTATCTCTTAGCCCTTACCACCTCGATCTGAAATGACCTGAGGATTCTGCAGCCTCTTTCACCAGGCTTTCAGTGCTACAAGGGAGTTTGCTTATAATTGCATCCCCGTTGCTTAGCACAATGCCTGACACAATGTCAATGCCAAATCTATATTGATAATATTGTTCTAATAATATCCAGTTGGTAGTTCAGTAACTAAACCTTCTTCTTTTAAACCACCTTATACAAAGTGAATCCTCTGTGGTTGAAAAAGTTCCAGTACTTATAAAAGGCAAAACTTCCATTACTTTATCATCTCATCTGTTTAATATAGCTTTTCCTATTTTTGTATTCCACAGAGTTGGTCTCTGAGAGTGCTGTTAAATAAAGTTTTTATGTTAGAAGTGTGTTATTCACCCTAGCGAGATAGTGTAGTGGTTTAGCCCACAGGTGCTGGAGGCAGACTGCCAGGCCACACTGGTTGGGTGATCAGTTCACCACTGTTTCCATTCCCTTCTCTGTAAGACAGGACAAATAGCAGCCCTATCTCATCGATCTGTCAGGATTTACTGAATAGTATACAAAGGATTTAGAAGATGTAGTATGTGCTCAGGATATGCTGGCTACTATTATTAAACCAAGTCAAACAGTTTTTTCTTTCATATTTTGTTTTGTTTGCTTGCTGTAACCGCTCATAGCCTTTAATATGCTGAGTGTCTATGAATCTCCAGGTAAGAAGTATTTCCCAAATTTACTTGATGAAAGACCTACTAGAAAATTCCAGAAGGAGTGCAACTCAGAATATACTCTTGGGAATTCTTATCATCAATTTAAAAGAATATTAACATTTTCTGAACCAAAATGGGGACTCTGGCTTGACAAGTATAGATGTAACCTGAGGCACTGGGGCACAGTATTTGAAAGGAGAACTATTCTAGCAACCATACAAGCATACAAATAAATAAATCAAGAAGACCTATGTGTTACTACATTTAAAAATCTTTCCATTTTAAAAACTGAAGTGCAAGTAAAATGACTTTTATTGATTCTAAAGTGAGGGCTGCAAATATTGCTCAGATAAAAAACCATCTAGGCTTTATGCATTGTTTTCTGATCAAGTTGGAGAATTACTATTTGATAACAATGAAGGGCTGGACTCCCTTTTTCAAAAACTCATGCCATTTATCTTAATTCTGGTGCATCTGATAAGAACTTCCTCTAGATCCAGGAAGCTTTGCAAGTATGAAATAATCTGAACAGAGGAGGTAAAGAAGGAAGTAACTGACCAAAGTGAAAAAGAGGAACAAGGTCTAAACCAAGGCAGTTTTCAAACAGCCAAATGAACAGAAAGGAGTTTAGCATACCACTCTCAAGGTAAGTAACAACTCGATTTAAGGTGTGTGGCTAATGAAAACTTTAAGAAACAAGTTCATTTTTAATAATCAATGACTTTTAAAATCTTATCAAGCACAGTTATTTGGTGGCCTTAGGTGGTGATGGAAGAAAAAACAATTTACAAACCGAGGGTGATGTTAATGATTCTTTACATGTGTATATCCTCACAAGAATAAGATTATGCTTTGATATTGCCTTGTTTCCAAAAGGAAGGGCAGTGTCTGACTTTGATAATTCCAGTTTATCAACAATTTGTAATTTCAAGACAAGTGTATAATTGTTAGGTAACCTGTTGGAACTGTTTTCTAAAACAAAAACAAATAGTCTTCTTCCAAATTGGGTGAAGTGAAGCTTATTTAGATGTTAAGCTATATATATTTGAAGGGCTTTTGTTTAACATGTTTTTCTTTCTAGTAGATCTTTCTTTGTCTCTCAGGGTTTTTCCTAGTAAGTTATTTTGAAGAAAGGAAAAGGATGCATTTGTTATTTTGTGTAAAAAGTATTCTTGTCTTTATCTAAGTGAACACTTCTTTGACAAACAATTTTAATATTTGGAATGTACTGGAATGTCTACTCTACATAGAAGAACATAAGTGGTAAAAATAAATTCTCCTCTTGAAAACTGAAAGAGTAATTTGTTATTTTATCTTCAGGGGACAATAGTTAGCCCTACCCACTTAGGTTGCAAGCCTTCAAAACCTGATTAATTTCAATTGATACTTGAAATTTAATTCAAATATGCTGGCAAATAATTACTTAAATAAGTATACCATAAAATGTCTTAAATATGATAAGTTCTCATCTGTTTCAAAAAGGAAATGCATTCCTAATGGTTAAAGTCATTTGCCAAACCTTTGCCCTTGAACACAGCCATTGTGCAAGGCAGTATAAAAGGGGAACCCTACAAAAGTTCCAAAGATATTAAAAGATGTCTAGATGGGAGATATCTGCTCCTATAGCCTTATCAAATAAATTTTATAAATTGACTACGTCTTATATTCAATTTAGTATTTTACATGAAATGCCAGCATGACATTTTACATGTTAATTTATTCTAATTGAACAAATTTGAAAAAGTTTGCTATCATACATGAATACTCACTGAAAGTGGGGCAAACTTTTGTGAGCTTTCTTTTTCTCCTATTTATTGTTATCATTGTCATCCTAGTGCAGGTTGCTCATTCATTAATGAATATTTAATAAACTAGCTATTCTGTGTCTAATACTGGTGCTGGTAATATAAAGATAAATTAGATATGATTCCCAGTCCTTAAGAGCCTCAGATCTAATCAAGCTATACAAATTAAGTGATGGATGTGCTTGATAGCCATTTACAGAAGTTTGGGTAAGAATAATTTTTTTGTTGTTGTTATTTTGGGGTTTTTTTGTTTGTTTGTTTGTTTTTAGCTGAGCCATCAGGCTACCTGTTGGCAGCTCAGCGGCTGCTCAGCTCTGGCCAGGACTCAAACCGCTGTTGCTCAGAGCTAAAACTCTTGAGCGAGCTCTTAACCAACTGAGCCACTCGGCCAACAGAATAATATTGTGGGGCAAATTTTACTTGAATCTTAATTCAGCATCTTCTTAGTTGTTAAGGAAATTATCTAACCTCTTTAATCTTGTCTTTCTGCATCCATAAAATGAAGATTACAATAGTATCTAGTTCATTTGGCAGCTGTGGGATTAAACAAGATAATCCACGTAAAGGTGTTTAGAAGGTGACCCAGAATAAGCTTTTAACTAAATATCATTAATGATGACATTCAATAAATGATGATAATCATTTCACAAGCACTATTAACAATATTGAATGACTATAATTAACAATATCATATATTTGAAAGTTGCTAAAAGAGTAGATCTCAAAAGTTCTCTTCACAAGAAAAATATTGTAACTGTAAGATGATGGATATTAACTAAACTTAATGTATTAATCATTTCACAATATTTACATATATCAAGTCATGTTGTACATATTAAACTTATACAATGTTATATGTTAAATATATAATAAAACCAACAAAAAACAACTATTGGATGTAACTATTTCTGTGTCTAGGCTGAAAACATGCAGTTATAATATTTTGTTGATAAGAGTACTAGAACATTTAGTCTAGTTGAACACTTTCTATTTTTCCTTCTTACCATTTTAAAACTGACAGAAAATACTCTAAAATTATCTTAATTGAATGAAAGTTGTTTGCTGAAAGTTGTGAGAAGACTGGTGATAGGAAGGCTTTCCAAGATATTTTGTTTTATGTCACAGAGTTCTCTTCTTCTTTTAAGTATAAACTATACCCTTTAGAAGACATATCTTGAGTTTTAAACTATTTAAGCAATTAGATGCTAAAATTTAGAGTCATTTGTTTATTCAATTTTTCATTCAATAAGTATTGACTGAGTGCCTTTTGTGTACTAGGTGTTTTGCTTTCTCTAGGAATATAAAGATGAAAAGACCTGATCTCTGCCCACCATTTAATGAGGTAGGAAGATACACAATTTCCTGTAGTTTAGGTTATCATGCTGTAATAGAGAATGGATTCATTAACGTGGGAATACAGAGGAAGGGGTGATTAAGGAAAAGCCATGATCCATTACCACTCCACAGGCTTCCCAGAGGAGGTGACAGGTAATGGAAATGATTGCACTTGTCCCTTTCCTCTAATTGTGTTTAAAGCACTGTCTTTCACTTGAAAATTATTAGCCTGGTGTCAAAAACCATGTTGAAATCTAAGTGATAAAATTGCTCAGGCTTGTGCAGGGACAGGTTCTAAATCCTTTTCTCTACTCACAGCAGCTAGTACTGCATTCTGTATTGAAGGAGGAACTCACTAAATGCTGGTGCTTAATGCATTGGTAGAAACTGGTAGATATTTTATTATGCTAATGTAATAAATATGTAATTAATATGTTTTTAATTTATAGCAGGTTTCTGGATGGCAGATCATTCAACCTTCCTTTTCTTGAGTTTTCAACTCTGCTATTATCTTCCACTCATTTCTGCTCCATTTTCTGATTCACTGACAGAAAAGGAATTGAATTTGACTAAAATCTCCCCTGACAATAATGGTTGTGATGTAAAAAACATCGGACACGAGAATCATCCAAAACCAGGGTTCCTCAATCTCTCCTGTAATTGCTTTAGGACTTTGGCAGATAATGTTCTTTCAGATCTGAAAGGGAAATGCCTAAAAGAGTTTCCAAAGTTACCTTTGAACTGTACCCTACAAGAAATTATTAATACACCGGCCTATGCCTGCGAATTCATTAAAGGCAACAGCATACTATTAAACAACACTTTTTGTGCAGAAATGCTGAAAAGCTGTGGAAACACTTCAGTGGCCATTTCTGTAGGAATTTCCCTTCTTTTACTGCTGGTGATCTGTGGAATTGGGTGTGTTTGGCACTGGAAACACCGTAGCACAACACAATTTACCTTACCGAGACTTTTGCAAGGGAAACGCAGCAGGAGAAAAGACTATTCTAAAACACTCTCGATACGTCCCCATGTTATCAGCTCAAGGCATAAAATCTCAGTTCAAACCCAAGACCGCAAATCTGCTGCTGGGGGGACTGACACACATGACACCTATGAAAATCTGGAAGCACGTCCTCCCAAAGCTAAAGAAGAAACCGATAAGGAACTGTATGAGAACATCCGGCAGCCCAATTTCGACGATCATATCTATGGAAATGAGACAACATGTGACTATTACAACTTTCAGAAGCCGTGTACTTCTGCAGCCCCTCAAGATGAAGATATATATATTCTTCCTGATGCACATTAACTTTTTAAAATACTGGGCTTAGTTATTGGAGGATAAATATTCACTGGGACTTTTATTGTACAGATGTCATTAATCAAGTTCTGATGAAATTCAATGATGTCTCATCTATCGCGACCCTCTGAATCCTCCATATGTGGATCACTGGATTAATTTTAAATATCCTCTCCACTATCCTTGCCCTGGATTAACTATGTATTATGTTGTACTGATTCTTCCTTCTAATATTACCTGTTATCTTTTTCTTTTGTTTCTATCTCCACCATCTTTTTCTGGCTCAGGATGATTGTCACAGTTTCCTATTGTCACAGTCTTTCTGACTCTAGTTTCCCCACACTCAACAGTTCCCCATGATTATTTTCAGAAAATATTTCCAATGGCCATATACCACTCCTTTATGTAAAACCTTCTCTTTGCGAAAAACATAATACTCATAATTCTGAGTCCAAAATGCATGATTTTACACAGTTGGTTCCAATTTACTTTTCCAGGGGCTTCTACTAATCCCTCACGTCTCTGCTTTCATCAGAATCATCTCAGAATGTGCCAAAGTCCTCCTCCTCCCCGGCTTCGCTGTCTGCCCCTCTCAATCCTGCCTCTGATCATAGCTTCTCCGAGAAGTCTTCTGAATCATCCCAAACCTACATTTACCGTTTTTCTCCCTGATCACCTGTAGACTCTGCTGCCTGTTCAATTCTTTGGTCATTTAAACATATGAATGTATGCTATGATATTTTATTATGTAAATATGCAATATGAGAATGTCTTAAATTCCCTACTAACAGTAAGGAACTGCCTCGTATTCACATTTTAGCCCCAATGCCTAGACCATTCATTCATTATTGTTCAATTGACAAGAATTGAATTGTACATTTTGCTAAGTAGTTTTGAATAAAATCTAATATATTTATCCATCCAAGGAATATTTATTGAATACTTTCTATATACTTTTTACTTTGCTGTGCCCATGGAGGTGGTAAAATCGTAAAAAGAAGGGCATGGGTCCTGAACATGAACTGTCTAGTAGGAAAGAAAAGACAATAAACAAACAAATAAATACTATGCTAGTCATTAAGCTATGACATTTCATTTTTAAACCCACCCTTGAATTGCTTGGGCTGGGAATATGCAAACTACATTTTTTCTTTCCCAGGCAGATCCATATTCGGTTGTCTTAATATGGGACACTAAGGAAAACTGGTAGGCAGCAGGAAGCAAAAAGGACTTGCTCCTTTTCTCCCTGTTGTCCTAAACAGGTACTGTTGCCATGTAATTTAATCCAGCATCACCGGTTGTTTGCAGTTTCTAGTTTCTTCCAGCACTCCCACAACCAGCTTTTTTTTTTTTTTTTTTTTTTTTTTTTTTTTTTTTTTTTTTTTTTTTTTTTTTTTTTTTTATTGTTAGTTTCAGGTGTACAGAACAATGCAATAGTTACCCTTTTCACCCTCACAAAGTAACAACCCCCCACCCCCCATCCACTGCCCTCCCACCCCCATATCATGCTTATCTATTACAATTCCATTGAATCCGTTCCCGCACTCTACTCCGTGTCCCGAGGTTATATGTATGTATAATTATAGTTGACATACAGTGTTATTCAACATCAGTTTCAGAAATACAATGCGTTGATAAGGCCTCCACATCAACTATGAAGTGGACTCCCCAAAAGGGCATTGGTCCATCTGGCTCCCTAAGAAATGCTTACAACGTTATTGATTGTATTCCTTGGACTATCTTTTTCTATCCCTGAGGCCATATTACAATTACCAATTTGTATTGTCTCATCCCTTCCCCTCTCCTTCATCCCCACCCCCTCCCAACTAACAACCCTCAGTTCTTCCTCTGTGTCTCTGAGACTATCTCCATCCACTTCTCCCATCCATTCAGTTCCTTAGAATCCACGTATAAGTGAGATCATATGATATTTGTCTTTCTCTGACTGACTTATTTCACTTAGCATAATGTTTTCTAGTTCCATCCATATTGTTGCAAAAGGTACTACTTCCTTCTTCTTTATAGCTGAATAATACTCCATTGTGTAAATGTACCAAAGTTTCTTAATCCAGTCATCTACCGATGGGCATTTTGGTTGTTTCCAAGTCTTAGCTATTGTGAATAACGCCGCAATGAACATAGGGGTGCATATATTTTTTTGGATTAATGTCTTGGGATTTTTTGGATAAATACCTAAGAGTGGGATTGCTGGGTCGTAAGGTAGTTCCATTTTCAGATTTTTGAGGTGCCTCCATACTGATTTCCATAATGGCTGCACCAGCCTGCAGTCCCACCAGCAGTGCACCAGGGTTCCCTTTTCCCCACAGCCTCGCCAGCATTTGTTGTTTGTTGATTTATTGATGATAGCCATTCTGACCGGGGTGAGGTGGTATCTCATTGTCCCACAACCAGCTTTATTGAACCTGTTGGAGATGCCAGAACCAGCCAGGCAGCACCCTCAGACAGCAGTACCTGAGAACCAATTCTCCAGGGCCCTCCTCCAAGCTCCCGATGAACTGGCAGGAGACAAATGACACCCTCACAGCCCTGGGTTAGGTTCTGATCAGTCCCAGACATAGGCATGGTGGCTATTTTCTGCAGTGACTGTGCCTGTGGTATACCTCGATCTCTTTTTTTGTCTTTCAGTCTAACAATACATTATTTTAGCTAATTTCCTATACTCAATTCTCCCTGTAAGGACGCACTTAAACTGAGACTTGAGGATGAAAGCGAGTTATCCATGTAAATGTGATGGACAGGGATGGGGCCAGCATGTGAAAAGAATCTGAGGCTTGGAAGAATTTATGGTGCTCTGGGAATTTAAAGAAAGCCATTGTGGCTGGAGCTTAGTGAAGGAGGGCTGAGGTGATACCTGATGGGTTGGTGAAGAAGGGAATAGTGGGCAATGAATCTTCTTGAAGGTCTTGGTATACGGCTTAGACTCTTATGGGTGCAAATTAAATCTAAGCAGAGAAATGACATGATAATATTTACATTTTTAAAAGAGACACTGGGTTGAGAAATGACTGGGAAGGTACAAGATGGAAGTGGGTAGGGCTGTGAAGAAAATTGTCTGATAACTTACTAATTGATGAAAATTCATAAAGGTTTAAAAATAGCTCCTATTTTCCTTCTAGAGAAGAAAAGGATTTACCTCCTTCTCACCTTCTAGATTCATCCTGGAGCAGGTGGTCATTTAAAAGTCTCAATATTTTTTTTTCTAGAATAATCAATATTTATGCCTTTCTAGCACCCAATTATAGGAGCTGAAAATAACCTGACAGAAATACCACCAGTGCCTATATCTTGGTAGGATACTGGGAATCAGGCTGGAATGAATAGAGAGGAGTTAATCCATAACAACTGAATTGGTATTACCTATGGGAAGAGTGAGAGTCACCATTGAGGTGACAAGAGAGGCGGGTACTGGAGTGTCTGGTCTGAGCAGTAACTGGGAGGTTGTAAAGCAAGCTTCTCAATGGGCTAAGCAAAATCCCATTTGCTGTGGAGACTGGTAATAGATTGGAGTATATTACTCTACTTCATCATTGGGGTATATTTTTTATTACCTTTTTATTGAGGTATAAGACAGAGTGAAGTCAAATGTTTCAAGCTGCAGTCTGAAAACAAGGTCAAGACTCCAGGTACTCATCATTGCTGGATGCTGGCCATGGAGTCCTACAGTGTAGTTATAAGTCACAGGATGAAATATGCCTAGATTTCTGTGAGTACCTAGCAAAGCCATGCTCATTGTATTCGATGCTACTGCCTCCTTTCCCCACCCCCGGTATCTTTCCTCTTTTAATTGTGGTACATGTGGTTACTTTTGCAGAAAATAAAACACAAATACAAACTGCTGCTCTTAGTAAATGTAGACAGACTTTATTTTCTTTATCTCTCAAAGACAATTTTTACCTATGAGATTTTAAGAAGGCAGAGAAATATTGTGACAAATGATGTAGATAGGAGATAGAAATTTGAAAGGAGGAGGTGCAATGGAAAAAAAGAGGAAGAGGAGGAAATGGAAGAGGAGGAGGAGGGTGAGGGAGGAAGAGGGGAAGTGAAGGAGGGGTGGAAATGAGAGAAGGAGGGAAAGAAGAGGGAATAGGAGATAGGAGACTGGACAAAGAATGGGGAGCATGTACAGTAAAAAGAAAAATGGAATAACAATATCCTTTATTCCCTTTGCTCCCCCATAACTGCTAGTAAGGGAAGTAGTTATAAAAAGAAGAAAGAAGTGGTCTGTCTGTATAACCTGATTGAATGTAGATAATAATTGGCTGTGAGAAAATATATTGGTAAGTTGCACATACTCTTGTCGTGGATATGTATTTATGTACTCACTAATCTTCATGCGAGTCCTAAAAATCTGTCAATTTTGAAACATCACCTTCTCTCAGCCTTGAATACTCCTGTCCCAGATATTCACACTGTGAACGCGTTTCATTTAGCTCTCTGATCAAAAGACACCTACTCAGAGCTGGCAACGCAATCTGAAACAGCCCCCTACAATTACTCCCTGACCCTTTTTACCTTTCTTAGGTCCCCTTCATAGCACTTATCACTATCGATGAGTGTTGGTGTGCGTACTCTTTACAATCTATTCTCTCTGCCTAGAATGCAGGCTCCATGAGGGCAGAAACATTTTCTGTCTTACTCCCTGCTTGACTGCCAGTATTTTGCTTAGAGGACATGCTCAATTATGTCTGCTGATCAAATTAATAAGGTATTTTTTTTTCTTTAAGACTAATACTTTTGGTGAAACTGCTGAAATATTTTGGAAAATAACAATGGGGAGAGTTGCATATATTATTTTGAACATCACTAATATGCAAAGATAGATTAAGGCAATTTTTATTTAAAAGGGACAATTATTTTTTTAGGTCTGTTATTTTTTCATTACAGTTGACCTTCAATTTATTTTATGTTTCAAGTGTACAGAATAGAACTTAGACATTTATATAATTTAGGAAGTGGTGCTCCTGGTAAGTTTAGTACCCTTACTCTACACATACTCATAGTTATTACAATATTATTGACTATATTCCTTATGTTGTACTTTACATCCCCATGATTATTTTGTAACTACCAATTTGTACTTAATCCCTTCACTCTTTCACCCAGCCCTCAACCTCCCTCCCATCTGGCAACCATCTGTTTATTCTCTGTATCTATGAGGCTGTTTCTGTTTTGGTTGTTTGTTTATTTTGTTCTTCAGAACCCACATATGTGGGAAATCATATGGTATTTGCCTTTCTCTGTCTCACTTATTTCACTTTGCATAATACCCTCTAGGTCCATCCATGCTGTCATAAATGGTAAGATTTCATTCCTTTTTATGGCCGAGTAACATTCCATTGTATATGTGTACCACATCTTTATCCATTGTCAACTGATGGGCACTTAGGTTACTTCCATATCTTAGCTATTTTAAACAATGTTGCAGTGAACATAGGGGTGCATATATCTTTTCAAATTAGTGTTTTGTGTTTCTTCAAATAAATACCCCAAATTGGAATTGTTGGGTCATAAGGTAGTTCTCTTTTCAATTTTTTGAGGAAACTCCATACTGTTTTTCATTGTGGCTGTACCAATTTGCAGTCCCACCAACAGTGCACAAAGGTTCCCTTTTTTCCACATTCTCACCAACACTTGTTTTTTGATGATTTATTGATGATAGCCATTCTAACAGGTGTGAGGTGATATCTCACTGTGGTTTTAATTTGCATTTCTTTGATTATTAGTGATGTTGATCACCTTTCATATGTTTATTTGCCATCTGTGTGTCATCTTTGGAGAGATGTCTATTCAGGTCCTCTGTTCATTTTTTAATTGAATTATTTTATTTTATTATTATTTTTGTATTAAGTTGTATGAGTTCTTTATAAATTTTGGATACTAAC